GGGGGGGGGAGAGGGCAGGGTCCCGCAGCCTGGGCCTGAGAGCAGCAGGTCCCCTTCAGCCAGGCTGCAATTTTAGATCGACCCCATGGGTCTCCCTGACCTTCAGATTAGGGGGTGGTTAGGGGGGACCCTTCTTCTCCCCCCCACCTCAGGACTTGGTGCTGGACCCCTGGCTGGTCTGTTCTAGTGCTGCAGGCCTGGTGCTCTGGTGATGGGCTGGGAGGCGTTTCCGGTGCTGAGCCCCGGTTCTCAGAGGCGTCCAATCTTTGGGCGGGTGTTTCTCAGCCTGCAGGCGGCTCGGCGTTCTTCTGGGGCAGCTGGGTAACTTTCTGTCCAGCTGGCAGTCGCCATCTCTGTGTGTCTGTGAGAGCACCTGTGTGTGAGACTGTGAGAGCGCCTGTGGGGCTGAGTATCTGTGAGAGCACCTCTAGCTGTGTGAGACTCTGCGAGTGCCTGTGTGTGTGTGTGTGTGTGTGTGTGTGTGTGTGTGTGTGTGAGAGAGAGAGACTCTGCCTCTGCGTGTGTCTGAGTGTGAGACTGTATGTAGGAGAGCCCCTGAGGGGCTGCGTGAGCGCAGGTGGGGCTGTGCGTGGGGTTGTGAGGGTGCCTGTCGGGCTGTGTGGGGCTGTGCGTGGGGCTGTGAGCGCGCCAGTTGGGCTGTGTGGGACTCTGCATGTGTCTCGGGGAGGGAAAGGCCTTTTTGTAATGTCAGAAATTGCTGGGATTCTTTGCTGCTGTGCACATGGGAAATGGTTGGTTGTTTTCAGGCCGGCGGCGCTGTTGGGGATCTCTTGGCCTGGTCTACGCAGCCCAGGCTGAGGAATCTGGCTCAGTGAGGACGGACTTGCCCACCAGTGCAGCTGCCCTTTGCAAAAGGGCCCCTGCTTGCTTCCTGGGTGCTCTCTGGGTGGAGGGGCGGATGGTGGCATGGTTGTCACTCCGTGGCTGTGCGTAGGAGTCGGCTGGCCTTGAAGTTAAGTCCTGGGACTTGGAAGGTCTGTGTCCTGCTCTGCCCCTGGCCCCGTTCGTGACCTTGGTGTCACTTAGACCAGAGGTTTTACACTGATCTGGGTACCCCAAGTTTTCTGGGTGCCTGATGGGTGACGCCGGGGACCCCGCTTTCGAGGAGTGTTGGGCACCCTCCTGCTGGAGTCGCTAGGCACGACAGGAGCTCTGCATTTCCAATGTCCGGCCCCAAGTGTGTCCAGATGTCACCAGAACTGCTCAGCCTGAATCTCTGTCACATTCCCCATATGGAAAATGGGGATCACTCCCCCATCAGCCTATCTGCCTCCCCCTGGCAGAGCCAGTCAGCTGACGGACGGTGGATTCCAGTCCTGCTAGTGCACTGCCGGTGGAATTCCCACCCCGGGTTCCCTGCGCACGCCGCTCTGCAGCCGGTGAGCTACACGGGGGTTGCTCAGGCTGCAGAGGGGTCACCGAGGGCAGATCTGACCTGCAGACCCTTCCTTGGAGGTATTTAAACCACTTGGGCCAGAGGACGTTTTGGTTGCAATTTTCCATGCCTTGAAGCCAGGCAGTGCTGCCCCCCCCCACCGGTCGCAGTTGCGAGCTGGGAGCTGAGTCTTGCTTGGCCAGCCCCATGGCGGGTACTTTCCCAGCTGGAGCTACCTTCCCCATCGAGGGAGCATTGAGTCCCATGGCCCCGCCGTGTGGCATTCAAGCACTGCCCGCCCGTGACAGTGAGATCTCCTAGTGTCTCCCCGTGTCCCCCAACAGTAAGGACTAAACCAGCCAGGCCGGGAGCTGGGAGCCGTGGTGCCCGCCCCTCTCCTCTAGGGCCTGGTCAGTCTCTCAGGCAGGAAAGGGGCAGTGGATGGCAGCAGGGTCCAGGTGTCCTCATAGACTGTTGCTTTCTAACCCAGAAGCCTCCCTGTCCCTCTCCTGCCGCGCTGCCATGTGCAATGAAAGAGCTCACAACGTGAGCGTCAAGCCTCTGTCACTGCCATCTCCGTCCGCTCCCAGTGAACTGAACAGGGCAGGGCACAGCTCAGAGAGACTGAGGCCCATCGCTTCCACCCCTGCCCAGCATGGGCTCAGGCTCTTGGCGGGCTCAGGCTCTTGGCAGACTCAGGCAGTGTCGCTGGATTGGTCACACCTGGGGTAGCTCCCCGCCCACCCAGCGATGGGCTCAGGCTCTTGGCAGACTCAGGCAGTGTCGCTGGATTGGTTACACCTCGGGTAGCTCCCCGCCCACCCAGTGATGGGCACAGGCTCTCGGCAGACTCAGGCAGTGTCGCTGGACCGGTCACACCTTGGGTAGCTCCCCTCCCCCCCAGCGATGGGCTCAGGCTCTCGGCAGACTCAGGCAGTGTCGCTGGGGTAGCTCCCCCCCCACCCCACCCCACCCCTCCAGCGATGGGCTCAGGCTCTCTGCATTGGGCACGTTTTGGAGGTTTTCTTGACAACCGGAGTAGCTGGAGGCTGGTTGGATTCTCTTTCAGTGAAAGCAGGGACCCCTGAGAGTGCTGGTGAGGCCAGTCGCGCCTCTCCTGGCCAGGGGAACACAGGGCCAGGGGCTGTGACTGGAGCGGGAGCTCACCCAGGCCGTGGTAGGGAGGGAGTGGCCCGGCCTCAGCCACTGGGGAGGCAGGGGCCCTGGCCGGTCTGCCAGCTGCCATGCGTGTGTAGAACAAAGGGCCTGTGTCCCCAGGCAAATGCATCTGGGCAGTTCCAGGGTGAGGGGGGGAACCCTGCCCCCGCTGACCCAGCCCTTCCCCTTCTGTGGGGGGCAGGGGCCTCGCTCCATGCTAGCCACTGGCAGGATTGGGTGCCCGGGACCCTGCTCGTGGGGCTCCCGGAGGTGGTTACCTGCCCCTGAGGTTCAGTTGCCATGGTGGCCCCAGGCCAGCGCTGAGCTGTCTGACCCACACAACGCATAGCCTGGCGCTGTGAGCCCTGCCCCCGTCCCCTCCATGCCCCATCCTGGCTGCAGTGCCGCAACCTGGCACGGGCGGCCCTGGGTGTGACCAGGGCCTGCGGTATTGGGCTGCCTGGCAGCTGTGTCTGTCAGCCCAGCTCTGGGGAGCATTGGTCAGACCAGCTCCTGGGCCTCGAGCAGCGCCCTGAGGTGACCTGGCCCTGGGCTGCTCTGGCACCGCCCGGCCATGGGGGGCTGGGACCAGGTGGGCACAGGGTCGAAGCACAGCTCCAAGCGTTTGCTCCTGCCCCGGCCACCTGGGTCCGGCCACTCCCCAGCTAAGCTCCCCCCCAGCCACTCCTCAGGCCGAGTCTGCAGCTGTGGCGATGGCATGGGGTCGGGAGCTGAGGGGCCTGGCATGTGGGGCCCTGCCCTCTCTAACTACGCTGCCTCTCCCCCCACCAGAATCCCCCCGGCTGCCAGCACTGCCCTGCCCCGGCAGCTATGACAGAATGCCCGTCTGCGCTGCGGCGGGCGCGCACCTCCCGGAGCGCCCAGTGAGCCGGATGCCCATGGAGGGGCTGGACAAGGCTCCCGGCCATGCGCCGGCCTGGGAGGGGGACGCCCTGCGGGTCAACCAGCTGCACAACAGCAACAACAACGCCTCGCCGGGGGGCTGGCTGGGCCACAAGGGCTCCCGCTCCCTCTCGCCCTTCGGCCCCCGGGCCCCTGCTGGCGCCAACCACACGCTGAGCTACCT